TTTAATAATAATTATATCAGGAAAATGTTTAAAAGCTGATTCCCCAGCTTACCAGCAGGAGCGTTTGTTTACTTTAGCCAGTGAAGATTGGACTGTCTAGAAAAGCACTTGTTGTAATGTTATACACATTGTGCCGGATTAATCCTATTCTAACTCAGTACAAATTGTCATTTTTATTTCTTCCGAAGTTGCAGTGCCCAGTTATTATTGCATCTTTTATTCATATGCATAAAATAAAGGTAATAACCTTCCTTAAAAAATTCCACAGGCAGCTCTGGATTTAGGTGCACGAGCTGATGCAGCAGGGTGACAAATCAAAGTCAGAAAAATGCCTCTTTGTACTGCTGCAATGTCTCTTGCACCTGCAATTTAACAGCAAAATCTTTCCATCCTTCAGATTAAATAACTAACCCACCCTACAGATCACAGCATACAGTAGATATCCTCAAGTGAGCTTCAAACAAGGTAGCTCAGGTATCAGAAATAATGCAGCCTCAGCAATCCCATGACCCCCTTTCTGCAGGGCCTGTTTCTGGTACCCAAGATACCCAAGGTAGCTTTAAATGAGCTATCTGCGCTAGGCTGCAAATTGTTGTGTAAATATATCCTACCGGCAAATGCTCTTGCACTTTTCCCTCTGTTATTTACATACAGGAAAGTGGATTGAGGGTGCCCCTATTGTGTAAAAAGCCTTGCTAGGACTTTAGGGCTAAGTACAGAGACTCAAAAAGTCTGAGCCTGAATCGATTCAATCTTTGCAAGTTAATTTAACCTTTGCAGACGAAACCAAAGTGAATATTAGCCCCCACATGCCTGAACCCCTACTTCTGTCCCTGGCCTAGGAGGCTGCTGGTGGGGGTTCAGGCATGTGAGGAGCTACCTGAAAGATTAGGAGCTGGCAGGTTTGCTCAGTAGGGAAGGGGAAAGAATGTTGTGGTTTCTGGCTTTTGCTGGACTTTAACTTGGTGACTCCCTGCTCTGAAAGGGGTTGAACTCAACATCAGCCCACAACTAGAACTGAAGTGGGCTGAGGACTCCAATAAAGAAGCTCAGGCAAAGCTGTCCTGATACCACAGCTGGAGCTATGCAGGGAGGGTGCTTCCACCACTCTGACTTGAAGGATAAGGTTGTCTTTGTTTCAGCTGGAACAACTGTGAGAAGTAAGCACTCTTAAATGTGGCAATGCCAGTCTAGGAGCAGCCTTGGCTGTAATGTGACCCTCCATCTGCCAACCTCTGTAAACCTGAAACTCATTCTCAGGCACATATCAAGACTGAGATAGGGCACTAGGGGTGTGCGAAGCAGGCCCTATTCGATTCAGATTTGGATTCGGCCTGAATCAGGGACAGTGATTCAATTCACTGATGCGGATCACTGTCCCTGCTTTGATTTGGCTGAATCCGAATCTGAAGCTTCGATGCTGATTTGGAGAATCAGCAATTTGGACATAGACACAGCTTTAAAAGTTTTTCTACATACCTTGAGGTACCAGGCATGGCTCGTGCTGGGGTGCATGGAGCGTCCCACAGGAGTGCAAGGGGAGCGGGGGCCTCCACGTGCTTGGCAGTGAATCCAGAACCAGGAGGCACCAGTCACCGAGCCGGGGGGGCGGGGTGCAGCCTCCCCCCTGCCCACGCACTCCCTGGTGGACCTGGAAGTGGACTAGAAGTGCTTCTGGTCCACTTCTGGGTCTGCTGTTGAGCACACTGGGGAGCCCCCGCACTTCTGTGAGACACTCCATGCGCCCCAGCACTGCAGCATTCATGAGCCCCAGCTACCTAGAGGTATGTAGAAAAAACATTTAAAGCTGTGTCTATGTCCGAATCTCTGAATCTCTCCGAATCGATTCGGAGAGATTAAAGGGTCCTCTGATTCAATTCAGATTCAGAGATTTGGCCAGCAAATTGGGCTGAATCTCTGCCAATTCGAATTAGGGACCAAAGCTTTGCACAGCCCTAGTAATTACTGCTGTTCTTTGGATGCTTTCCCAATCTAGCAGTGTTCATTGCCTTCTGTAGGCTGAATCTCTACTAGCTTGCTTTTGTTAGCTGCCCTACTGCAGCCAAGCACTAAAAAATTCCCTGGCCCTTCCAGGTTAGAACTTTTGAGATAAATATCCTTGGTAGCCTTAAGGTGTACATGCTTCATGTCCTCTCAACTGAGAGCTCCTTAAGTGAAGGCACTGGCACTTGATGATGAGATAGGAGAGCTCATATAGTTCTCTGATCAATGATATACACCCAGCACTGAGTTTGCTCAGTGAGTGGGAGAACGCTTAGGCTAGGGACAGAAATTACACATAAACTGATCAAAATGATCAGAAACTAGCTCAAATCCATAACACAACAGCGCTAGGGACAAAAATTACACATAAACCAGTTTAAGTCATCAGAAACTGGTTTAAACTTATATATAACATAACAGCAGCTCAGTGCACATAAATCAGTTTCAAAATGGCTGAAACTGGTTTAAGATAAACCTGGTTGAATGTAGTATCAGACTTAACTGCTTTTGGTCAAACTGGTTTATGAATCTTCTGTCCCAGACTCCTTCCTGGTTCGGGTTAAATCACAGTCCCCCAGAATCTCACCATGCTTTGCAGCCCTGGGCTGGGCTGTGCTGTCTGCCCCAGCAGAGAAGGGTTGGCGGGGGAGGCAGGGTCTGCCCCAGGCAAACCCTGTCTGGGGTCTGGGGCCATGGAGGGAGGTTAAATTCCCCTTCCCCTAAGTACAGAGCTACCCTGCCCTGCTAAAAAATTACTGCTGGCTGCAACTGTAGACTACAAATCCCAGAGGCACCAGGAAGAGGAAGTGATCTACAACCCTGCAGAGTCCTGCTGCTGTGATTGCAGGCTGCAAATCCCAGAGACCTTGGGGGCAGCAGGAAGAGAAAGCAAACACACAGCCCATGCTGGCTGGCCACACCCCATACCAGAGAGCTGTGCTCTAGTGCCCCCCAGCTTCTGGCCTGAGTCACTGCAGTCATGTGACTGCATTTCCTGAATCAAAAGTGAATGTCTGTCCAGTTGTTTCTCGGTTTAATTTCTGCGTCTTAGACTAACCTGCAAAGACTGAATCAATTCAGCCCCAGGCTTTTTGACTGTCTGTACTTAGCCCAGAAGTTCAGTGCACATAAACCACTTTCAAAGTGGCCAAAAACTAGTTTAAAGTAAACTTGGATGAATGTAATATTAGACTTAACTGATTTAGGTTAAATTGATTTATTGAATGTCTGTCCCAGATCCCCTCCAGATTCAAGTTAACTCACAGTCCTCCAGCATCCCAGGTTGCTTTGCACCGCCCCTGCAACACCCTCCCAAGGTGGGCAAGCTAGTCTTAGCGCAAGCTGTCTGCTCCAGTTGAGCGGGGAGGTATGCTCTAGCCCTCCTTTCTTCCCCCCCAGCTTCTGGCTTGGACCACTGCAGGCTTATGGCTGCATTTCTGAATCAAAAGTGAATGTCTGTTCACTTGCCTATCAGTTCAACCTACACAACTTAGACTAATCTGCAAAGACTGTATCAATTTAGCCTCAGGCTTTTTGACTATCTCTACTTAGCCCTATTGACATGAATGTTCTTGGGCTCAGGTGCCAGACTCTCAAACTCCTGTGCCAATTTGCTGCCATGGACTCAATGTAAAAGTAGGAATGGTTCATCTCATCTTTGGTTGTTCTAAACTACTGACCAGAAATAGAAAAGAAATTAGTCCAGGACATGACAGTTTCTACTTGTACAAGGATCCTGGCAAATGCCCTTGGAGACTGCCCAAAAGGTTAAAATATTCCCAGTGAAGAGGCAGCTGAAAAAAACCACCTTTCTTTAATTAAAACATTAAACAGTGTGGGCTCATCTCACTGACTGACCATCCTAATAACATTACACTAGGAACCAAAATTTTGAATGGCCCCTCCCCCCAAAACTGTGCTAGCAATATATGCTGTTGCTCCCTTCTGCACATAATAAGTGGGTAATTATCTGCATTAGCATCCATTTTGATTTTGCACAATTGTGGGGTCCTGCATGTGTAGCTGGAGCCCCTTTGGAAATCTGGCCCCTTCATGTGGAAATTGCATGAATATTGCTGTCATTTTATATTTAAAAGTGGTCACACACACGCACATACACAAAAGAGCTGCTTTAGCATGCCATCAGTGCTCATTACAGGGTATTGTATCCACTGGCACAGATGGGAAACCTGCTAGGGCGCGTCAGCATATCAATCCTTCAGATGAAAAGGCTGCGAATTCAAAACCTGGATTCTCTCATTGGAAAGGATTTGGAAGTGCAATGCTTACAGTATAGTGTCAGTGCACAGGATAGCACAGAGTGACACTGTAGGTATGTCTGCAGGCTGGTGCACTAAGTCTCAAAACAAGCAGCAGCTAGGGGGTCAAGGATCCTAACATTGGAAGGTATTTATCTTGATTAACCCTTCACTAGTAGGGCTTGTTTTTTCTCTTTCTTAGGGACTGCAGTAAGCTGGACAGTATTTTTATCTGTAGTCAGTTTGCTCTCTGAAACTCCTTCCCGTCTTCGAAAAAAATGAAACCCTCCAAACTCTTGATTAACAACAATGGTCATTGCCTTTTGCAAAAGTCATTTTTTGATCCTTGTAGTGGAAGAATAATGTGATCTGGCCACTACAGACAATGGCAGACAAAATCTACCATGTGCTCCAAAAACAGGACTGTGTACCTTTGGGTTTGGAGAAAGTTTCTTTTGTTCTTCCTGCCATTTCCGGTTTGAGAACAGAACCACTCCCTAAATTAGCAGTGAATTCTGTAGCAAAGATCCTGTAGCTTTTGGTTAGCGGAAATCTTATGAGCCAGCTTCTGGAAATTAAAAAGGGAAAAAAATATATTGTGGGGGGAAAAAACCAGGTGCGTGTAAATTAAAAATAACTCCATAGGAAGCAATGTGTTTCAGTGGCATCCCAATACAGCTGCATTCCTGTCTTGGTGACCTCTCCATCTGCCTAATCTCTATGTATCTCCCTCCCCAGGTGGAATTGGCTGCCTGGGTCGAGACAGGGGGCAGGCACGGAAATGTCTTGATGCAGTGGAGATTTATAACCCAGATGGAGACTTTTGGAGGGATGGGCCTCCTATGCCTTCTCCTCTCCTCGCCTTACGAACCAACTCTACTAATGCTGGCTCTGTGGAAGGGAAGCTCTATCTTTGCGGAGGATTTCGTGGAGCAGGTACCACACAAATCTGACCAGTTGGTTTCATCCATAATTTACCCTTTCTGTTCCCCAGCACTAACAGACCCTCAGCAGATGACCTAGTTTGAATCACACACTTTCCAGAACCACAGAGTTGATTCAGCATCTCTGCATTTCTGCTTCCTAATGGCAATGTATATTGTGTTCCACGAGGTTTAGTCTCAGCTGATCTTTTCAGCGCAAACTGAAACACAAAAGGACCAGGTACTGATCTCTGTTGCCTCTATCCAAATTGTAGGAAAATAAGGCTGGACAGGATCTCACAAGGTCATCCAATCCATCCCTCAGCTTCAGGGCAAGACCATCCCTGACTAAACCATCCCAGTCAAATAGCTGTCTAACCTGCTCTTGAACATTTCTAGGGCTGGAGGTCAGAGTAACTCCTCATACTTCAGCAGTATTATCTTGGGTTCACATCAGGGTAAATGAGATCAGGAACTAGTCATACATTTATGTTCTGCTCCTTCAAGAACTTTTGGATATTTTTCTAAAACTAGGGCTCTGCCTGGCTGTCCTTTGCCAGGCATCTCTAAATTCACTCCATTACCAGAGCATGTGAGGTTCTCACAATATTGAATGAGTTCTCTTCATCATACCTCTGTGAGGTAGGAAGTGCTATTATTCCCCTTCTACCACGATCAGGGAATCAGTATACCGGGAAACTAAAGTCCAGATTCTGAAAGGTTTTAAGCACCCCATACTCCTGACAATTCAGTGGAAGTTTGGCACCTCAATAGGAATTGGACAGCTAAAATACCTGAGGATCTGGGCCTAAATGCCTTGCCAAAGTCACAAAAGGGAACCTGTGGCACAGCTAAGAACTGAGCACAGGGGTTTTGCTTTGCTAACAAATAGACCATCCTTCCTCCCTGTGAGTTTTCCTCCCAAATCACTGGCATCTGCCATTTCACATCTAAGCTAACTGCACATTTCAGTGGTTTTGTATGTACCCTGTTAATAAAACACCACAGTCCTTTAAGGCAAGAAGCACTACAAAAGATTACATTACTGTTATTATTACCCATGCACAGTCTCCAGTACTTACATGAAGCCACCTGATAGTAGCCCCCATCACAGCTCATGTTTTAGGAGAAAGCAGTGAGGCAGATGCATTCTCCAGTACTAGTGCCACGTTGAACCAACTGCTGCCCAAGATCTGCACATGATACCACTGTGAGATACAGATCCTCCAGTCCCAGTGGGTTTCACTTGCAGTTATATATGCCCCATAAGCTCTCAGATAAAGCTGTCTGGGTACTGAAACTTCTCGTGTTGTTTTGTTCTACTGGTTTCCAACTCACCTTTCCTTCCACTACTGCTGTTTAAGCAAAAAGAAGTCGCCTCCTGAAAACAATAGTACAACTGTTTTCTAACAGGCACGTTCTGGTGTCACCTTTCTGTTGTCATGTGCTTAGAATCGTGTGAGCTCAGAGCGCTAGCAGTTATGACACGTTATTGTATTTCTGTGGATAACATCCTGTGCCCTCATGGTTTACTAGTTCTGTCTCACACCAACATTCAGGGGGGAAAAAAGCCTAAACCTAGTCAGTGTAAATCTCAAAAGATCAATCCATTCTGTCAGTAAATGAAGCAATTACATTCACTATGACTAACAGCTTAGTATAAAACTTGCTGAATAAGGGTACTAGGGTGGTTCAGAGCCATAGAAACACACTGTGAAAAACACCAACACACTTTGGCACTGAGTCATATATAGAGAGAGCCAGTACTGGGACTGGAAGGGATTGGAAGCAGTCAAAATGTGAGGAAACAGTCAAAAAGTCTCCATGTGGATTTCAAGATGGCAAAAATCTGCACTTTTTTTTGCAATGTGTTTGTACAATGACAGAACAACAGGATCCTGATTCCTGTTGTACCACTGTGATATATATAATTGCATACAAAACTCTACACGAAAATAATGTTATTTAAATGGGAAATCAAGCCTTTGAAAGGTAGAAAATGCCAGTTTTACAGTCATCTGTTTAAATATAATTGTACTTTCTAGTGGGCTCATTCTATTCACTGAGGCATGGTTCCTGCAGGAAAAAAAAAAACCTAGTATGCGTATTAAAACCTGTATTAAACAAATGAGGGGACCCAAAAAAGTGCAGAGACTGTTATAAATCTGGCATTTCCTAACTTTTGAAGACATGGCTGAAAAACTACATTCTTTTAATACAGTTTTTGTATAGGTAACCTCCTGGGTTTTTAGTCAAGATAGAAACAAAGAGTATTATCTTTACAACTGTAACAACTCCAGTCATATGTCATTGGACAAGCGCTAGATGCTGGCTGCTTGCCTTGCACACCCTCTTCCCTCAGTCCCAAGTCCCATGGAAATGTGATGAGCTCCTGCCCTGTGTGGTAGCTGGAGGGGTAAGGAGGCAAAGTAGAGGGAAAAAGTGGTACTGGTTCTAAATTAGGGATTATGGGGAGAATCAGGGGTAATATGGTTTGGCTTTCCTAGGAAACAACCCAAACCCCACAAAGGGTCCTGATGAGAGTGAGCTGAGTCTACAGGGGTATCTGAGCATGGCTATCAATGTCAAGCTTAGCACACGAGCCCCGCTCCAAAGATGGTCTGAGCCCAAACTGTGTCCAAGTCTGACCCAAGGAGATTTGAGCTCTGCAGAGCATTTCAGCCCTGTTGAATGGTGAAACTGCACCCGACTTTGATAAGGCTAGTGGGCAGGGTTTGGGTTAGGGGCAATGGAGGGAAAGTCTGAGATCAGGGAAAGTCTGAGCTCTGATCCAGGCTTGGGATAATGACTCCTCAAGGCTGTCCTGCTGGTAAGCACCATCTTCCCATGACCTTATATCTGGCTATGACCTTTCTGGGTACCAGAATGTAATTTCTATCCTGCTTGAATACCTCACCTTAACATGAATTGAGAAACTTCTTTCTTTTTAGTGGCTTACATATTAACTAGTCTGGTTCTTCCAGTAGCTAGAACTAATATCAAGGCAGGAGGGAATTATTAATCTCTTTCTCTGATACTCTGTTGCCTGTTACCAGTATGTGACAGCCAGAAAGATGTTCAGAAAGGTTTTATAATTCATTTTTGTCCATCACAGTTCATAGTTTTGCCCACTGTAAAAGCTCCATGCAGTAAACAAACTTTCAGTGCAATGCAATGGGCAATTGCCATCCAGTCATCTTCTAAGGGTTCTGCTGAGCTATTGCCATAGCTACTGATTTTAAACCAGCCTTTGCAGATTGACTGCATAATGTTCTTGTTGATACATTTTATAATTCCTTTGCCTTTTTACATAAAATGAAACCCTGACACCTGCACAGGTTGACAGCTTTTAGCATTGTGGTCTGTGTGTATGGCATAAGCAGTCACATTAGTATGCTCTGCTGAAAGATGTGGCAAGAAGTTGTTAAGTTATACAGCATTACATTACATATTTATAAAATGTTTGCCAGGCGAGTTTCCTTTTTCTTTGACACTTTTTTTTTTTTGACTCTTTAACCCAAGAGATACTCTTACTCTTGTGTTAAACCAATGGAGATGTGCGTGTGTTGTTTGCATGCTGGTAGTGGGATATTTGCTTCTGTGGCTGGTTGGCCAGAACACAGAGCTATTGACCTTCACATCACATTGCAAAATGCATGCTTTTCCTAGGCCTTTTCTGGGGGTAGAGTGAATGGATGCTGTCAGTGGGAGCCTGGTTTGTAGTAGGGTTGGGGTCTTTTGAAGTGAATATTTTGTTTAATTAAATACTAGCCTTCATTAAGAGCATATGCTTTGGTTATCATTCAAAGCCAACACGCTCACAGAGCCTTGGATACATGACAAAAGAAAAGATACCTGAATTCAAATACTGAAGGCCGTACCTGAAGCACAGACTCTGGTATTATTGGCCCATTGTATTTAAAAGCCCTTATTGTCCTCATCACTTAACTCCACTGGTATGGAACTGTGTGTATCTGAAGTGCCAGCTACTCACTTCACTGTCTCAAATGTGTGCGGGCCGGGAGCGACCCGAGCCCTTTTCGCGCTGCACGCGGGCTGTGGCCAGCAGCCCGGGCACGCGGGGGCGGAGAGGGAAGGCCTTCGAGCTGGAATTAGGCATGGACGCGTAGCGGTAGTTTAAAAGATTGTTTACTTACACCGAGATGGCAGTGGTGTAGGCTGGAAAACTTGCTTAAGTTGCAGTTACAGACAGGAAAGAAAAGAGAGGCGGACAAGAGTTCTAGACTCGTGAACTCTAGCCCAATCCGGCTGAAGGCTCTGAACACGCGAACCCGTCGTGTCAGCCGAAGAAAGTACTCGTCCGGAAGAGCTCTGAATAAACTCACACGAAGTTTGCTAGGCTCCGTGGGTTCTTCTGCTCACTCATTCACACAGAGTTTGCTAGGCTCCGTGGGTCCAGTTGTAGGTCATCGAGTCCAACCCTCTGCCCTGGGCAGGAAAGAGCGGTGGGGTCAGATGACCCCAGCTAGGTGCTTGTCCAGTCTCCTCTTAAAGACCTCCAAGGTAGGGGACAGCACCACCTCTCTCAGAAGCCCATTCCAGATTCTGGTAAGCCTTACTGTGAAGAAGTTCTTTCTAATGTCCAGTCTAAATCTGCTCTCTGCCAGTTTGTGGCCATTGTTTCTAGTAACTCCAAGGGGTGCCCTGGTAACTAGAGCATCCTATTCTTTGCTATTCCCCCCTGACGAATCTGTAGATGGCCACTAGATCCCCCCTCAGCCTTCAGATTTACTGCCCTGAATGAAACACCAGGAACTCAAGGAATGACTGTCACACTATCTCCTATGAGTCTTTCCCCCTCCATGACTCAGTTTATTTCTTTGTCCCTTCATTTTGTTGACTGAACCTGCTTTTCTTCTTCTTACAAAGTCCTGGGGGACAGATCTTAATGCCCCCATGTCCCCCTTCTCCCCTCACATTTTTCAAAAGGAAGTTTGATGAGGTTTTTTTTTAATACTTATTTTCAAATAATTAAATGTGCTTACATGCAGG